CAGAAACCAGAACGTGTACAGGTAATTCCATTTCATTTGATACAAGGTGCTCGTCTTTTATTAACTTCCTATAAATTTAATTTGGAACTGTCTACCTGTTACTGACTACCTAGAAACAGTCGCTCCAAAATGTCAAAGTTTAAACTTTATAATTAATATTAAATGAAATGTAAAACTACATATTAATATTATAAATGGCTTTTAATATAGCAGAAGATATTCAGATGTAAGTAGTCATTAACCGGCTACTCTCTACTGTTGAGCATTGACCTTCCTCAAAAGAGGGGCTTTTCCAGTAGTTGCCATGCTTGTCAGGCGGATTGGCAATTTTTCCTACCCTGAAAAAACACTTTACCCCCTTTTGAAAAACTCCATGCTGTAATCTCTTAAAAAAACCTCGATAGGGAGTTCGTTTCCTAACTTGAGCGTTCGTGAAAGAAAACATCTTTGAAACCACGTTGTACACGACCATCTAGACTCTAAGATATAAGGGTTAACTCCGTGTCGATGGCGAGCTGTACGATGGTAGAAAGTGACTGTGAACGTCATACTGAACAATTCCTCTGAGCACAGTCTGTTCTATAAGCGGTATAACACGCAGAGTGAGGCAGAATTTCTCCTAAGACTTAAAGGTTCGATACCGCTTATAAGCCTATATAATAATGGTTCCCAAGGGAAACCACATGAATATCGACCTGAGAAGGTATATTCCTAGTTGGTACCCTTTTAGACACCATTACTAACAATTCCTTTCCCCAAGACAGTGAAGTCCGTTTACCCCCTCGTGATATACACCAGAAATTAACCACAATAAGTCCACCCACGGACTACGGAAGTAACCAAGAAAAGGTCAATCTAACATGATTATCTCCATTACCATTTTCTCTTCCCCAATCAAGCCATTTAAGCTATTCATTGTGATGATGATTTTAACTTATATATCTGCATAATAGACTCAGAGGGAGACATTGTACAAATGTCGATTGCTCCTCTATCCCATTCGTGTTTCAACCGTGAAGCAGTTGTGTTTACATGGCTGTGTTTCGGTTTGAAGGGTGGGATATGGCGTGAATTTACTGGGTACAGAGGAATAACATCTGAGTCCTCAGGAATGGCAACGCATGGGGGTATCATGGGCGAAACAGTATACTCAGTTAAATCCATGGTACTGCTCATGTCTATAGGCGACGGTTACCACTTTCCATCAGGTGGGCCGTCAGATTGTTTGCCATTCTAGGTTGTATAAAAAAAAGACTCGTTTTTTGGCAGATGGTTAAAATCATTACGAGAGATACTAATCTGATCAGATTAACATAAATTTGCAGCGGAATTGTGGAAACGCTCGATTAAATTAATACGCGAATTAAATCAATGGCATACCAATTAATTTACTTCACTACTCTAGGTACTATATGAAACATTATTTCTTGTAATTATTTATATTTATAATAAGTTTACTGTTATAATCTTTTGGAGGAAACAAGAGTATCTATCTATCTATATTAATTACTATTACTTATACTACAGTATTATATAAAAGAAAGTGGGTTATATAAAAAAATGTACTATAAACGGTACTTAATCCTTTAGTAATATGGATAAAACTATATTACGCCGACCCCAAATAATAATTGGGATAAGGGTAGGAAGATGATGACTATAAACGGTACTGGTCATACTATAAAATATTACTGTAAAGAGGAATTTGTGGGAATTAGCTGCAGTCTCATTGCTGTATATCCTAACAAATTGTACAACCTAACAAAAAATACTTGTGTTTACAAATTTAATAATTAATGTAATGTAAAAATGTATTTATTATCAAAGTATGTATATCCACACTGTTAACTATTAATTATTTTATATCTACTTAAATAAATAAACAAAATGTAAATAAAAACTCAACTCTTTTAGAGTTAAGCTCGACTTTGTACATTTGATTACCTGTCATATTTTTGTGTATAATTAGTGTGTACAATAAAGAAGTAAATAAACAAAAACAAAAACCTACTCATTTTTCATCTCCTATAATTTTTATGATTTATTATTGTCAATCATTGGAATGTTATGTATGTTATTTGACAATATTTGTTTTGTTCTGAATGAATAAAAGCATGATTTAGACTATAAGGCGAACATTTGTACTTCACAATAAATGAAAATCTGTAATAACAACATTCTGGCAAATAAATGTATCCATCTATACAAAAATTATATTACATGCAAAAATTATTATTTTTATTCCTAGTAAAATTTCAATGTTCGAGTCTAACTCGCATTGAACTGATTTTTTTTTTATTTTGTCCATCCATTTTACGCCTACTACTTTTTAGGATAATCAGAAAATACACAATACTAACTAGCTGTGTTCGGACAATAATTTCTACATACATACGTACATATCTATTACGCCTGTCTCCCATTAAGGTAGGCAGAAACAATGGAACGCCAAATGCTTCGATTCAAACAAAACTCTTTCGCTTCTTAATCTTTTCATACACGCTCTCCGGTTACGGGTACTTTTAATTTGGCCCTTCTTCAGCACGTCGCCTATTTGATCAACATATGTCCGTCTAGGACGGCCCCTAATTTCTAGTCATATATTTTTGTAAAAATTTATTTCGTGCCTGTATATCTTTCACAATTTATATTTTTTGTTGCAGGTATTTAAAAGAACATTTTTTTGGTATAACACTGCTGACGTACTGCAGGTAAAAGTTACTTCTAAATGAATTTTTATATATAAGTTAGTAGAAATAAGTTTTATCTTATTAATTAATTTTTTAACACCTATGTAACGCAGTTTGTCACCATATTTGAACTGATTTTCAATGGATTTCAAAAAGAAAGAGATCCTCAATTCGTTTGTATTTTTTTTATGTTTGTTACCACATAACACCGTCGATAAACATTTATTGTCGGTGTAATTGCACAAAGATAAATAAAAGAATTTTCCAAATGGATAATTCTTTTATTTGTCTGATAGAATATACTTATAGATTGATCCCTCAAAAATGATATCAATATCGATTTAATAGTTTAGTTTTTAAATCAAAATTTAAATCAAATTTTTTACTCTGCATTCGTCTTATATTTATTTTGTAACAACTAAAATTGCCATACTTCTTTGTAAAGCAAAAAACTTATTAAAACGAAACAAATTCTTCCTAGTTCGAAATTTAAATAATTTTCATCTAATATGCCATGTGTCATTGAAACATATCGTCGCTCATACGTATGTGTGTGTTCATAATTAAAAATGCTTTGCAAAACAAAACTTATTTTTTTCGATTATAGAAATAGCAACGTTTAATTTTTTATCAAATTTAAAAAATTATGTTATATTTTAACATTGGATCACTATAATGTTTGATACAGTTTAGTATTCAAAATAAGTATATATATAATAAATGAAATGATAAATTGATAACATAATAATTATAATGAATTCTATACGAATATAATAATAATATTTTTTATTTAATAAATGTGTGTTAGTTACGGTGACCTAAATCTGAACGGGAAAATAGAAAAAAGCTTAACAATTGCTGGCATTCTGCCATAAGTTTACCAAAGTCCGTCACCACTTACTGACCTGAAATTATTTACTGGATATAAGAATATAAATTGCAGTCACTAACACTACAACGGATGCATCATCATTATATCAGCCGCTAAGAGTCCACTTCAGAAAAAAAACTTCTCCATAGTCTGCCTTTGCCAATGGAAGGTATTGCTAGTAGTTGCCATGCTTGGCAGGCAGATTGGCAACGGCAGTTAGCCTTTGATGATTTTTTAAGAGGGACGCTGCTGCCCTTGATCATTAAGTTCTCTTAATCACCTACGGGAAAAGAAGAGATGGCCCATTCTACGCCAGAACGGCCGAAGCCGGCGATTGTAGCGACGGCCAAGGATGAAGCATGGCGATATTTATTCTAAAAGTCTAATATATTTGAAATTGTGTTCCATAAAATAATAGCTGCATCATTTATGATAAAATTTACATATATATATTCTTTATTTCACTTAAACAATATATGCGACGATTAGTTTAACAACTTGTTAGCAAGGGAGGACTTATCTCTAAAATCTCTTCCAGCCAACCTAGTGTAATTAGAGAGAAAATGATTTAATTTGGGTAATCCAGTGCAGAAAAGGTACCAATGAAAATAATGTAAATACATCAAACACTATTGTGAATAAATATATAAATAAATAAATAAATACGTAAATAAGTAAATAGATAAATATATATACATATGTATACATATGTATAAGTGCATAGAATTATCATGTACAATTGATTGATTAATTATATCTATACTCGTATATACTTACATATCCTTGTTTTTGAAGTCTAAACTATATTCTAGCTCTTGTTATATATATTACAAGAATTATTTAATACTTTTTGTTCTTTTAAAAATACATTTTTCCGTATCCTGTACCCTTTATTATCACTCATATTTCTGCTGCCAAGCAGGCTGCTGTGTTCGCTTTTCTACGTTTAAGTATAAATAGTGGAATTTAGAAGTGAACTTATAAGTTACTGAGACACAATACCATAATCGTCCGCGTTGGCAGTACCATAAGTGTCACAGTGTATTCTATGATGCAAGTAATGGTTTTCACATTTACAAACAATGATTATATTATAAATACTGAAGATTGTTGGCGTTTAGTGAAATATGGAATATATCTTTATTATAATTATATATTATTATATATATTATAGACAGATTTTTATTTAACTATATTTTATGACCTGACAGATTAAGTTGTAATATCATATTAATATAATAAATGCGAAAGTTGGTCATGATAGGAGAATGGATGGATATTTCTTACACTTTCACGCAAAAACTACTAAACGGATTTGAATAAAATTTAGTACACGGATATATTTTATTCTAACTTAGCACATAGGACACTGTACATACTTACTGATTTACGCGGCAAAGCCGTGGGATCCAACTAATATAGTTACAAAAAATATAACATAATATATAAATATTATTTTATTTATATACCAAATATTAAATAATATAATCATATGATATTAATTGAAATCCAATAAAAATAATTGGAAACGCGTGTGTTAACACCAGGGAAATATGGATTGCCACAATCTAAGCCCCAGGAGGCAATACCGACCACGACTCCGTTGTAGTACAGGGGACCACCGGAGTCACCCTGGCATTGATCACGACCGCCAACATCCAACCAGCCGGAGCACAACATGTTGGGAGTTACGTCTAATTTAACTTCTCTGTAGCGATCAGCGCATTCTGTATGATTTACAGTCCACACTAGAACATGGCGAAGCTGTTCCGACGGAGGTCCATTATACTGTAAATAAATATTTATTTTAAAATAATAACAAATATTGACCTTTCATATGATATCCCAATTGAACTAGTAGGCCTGTTATAAAGGTTGAACAACCCTTTTAGACCTCTTAACAATAAAAAAATAAATTAATGCATTCGAAACATGACACATGTTTAAATTAAACAATATATAACTAAACATGGTATAGATATTAAAAAAACTTATAGAAATACTTAAATACTCCTCTTATGATTTGATTTTTTTTTTCTGCAAATACATATGTGTATTTTGAACACAGAAAACGCCCAGACCAATACAAACAACTTTACTCAGAAATACAAATGTTATACGAAGACCGAACCCACGACCATGGAAAAGTGAAGCAGTTTGTCAAACCACTATACCAATAAGTATCTAAAACTGTTTCTTTTAAATTGATAATATTAGTAGTTACTGAGATATAGCGCTGTGACAGACGGACGGACAAATTTAAGTAGCACCATTAGGCTCTTTCTATTTTACATACCTACACATATTATATATCCTTATACTTACTATAATATTACAATATTATAAATGTGAAAATGTATTTGTTTGTTTGTTAGATTATAGTTCCTTAAGGGCTTAACCGATCGTTAAGAAATATGTTATACACTTCCTATATGAAATAGAAAAAAATATAGAATACTTTTTATCTCAGTCAGTGAACATATCCAGATCACGCGGACTAAGTCGAAGGTAGCAGTTAGTATATAAACAAATTAATTCAACAATAAAATAAAAAATGTGTAGTTACCGCTACGGCGCCCCATCCAGCAGCCCAAACTTCTTCGTTGTAACCAAGATTGAAATTAGGGCCTAGAATACTGGCAGCCTTGACAAAATTATTATACACAATATTGTAAACAGTATGAAGAATGGCAATGTCATTGTCCTGAGTAACTATGTTATACTTTTGGTGCAGAACGATGTTACTGACGCCATGTATAATACCACCGCTGTTAGCGTAAGACGATCCAACACGAATACGCCATCTAGAGACTAAATCACCACTGTAAAAAATAAAGCAGGTGATATAAGAAGTGTTAAAAACTAAAGAAATAAAATATATTATAAATCTTTTTTTTTTATACAACTTAGAAAGGCAAACAAGCTGACGGGAAGTGGTAACCGTCGCCTATAGACATGAGCAGCACCATGGACATAACAGAGTATACTGTTTCGCCCATAATACACCCAATGTGTTGCCATTCCATAGGACTCAGGTATTATTCCACTTTACCCTGTGAATTCACTGCCCACCCTTCAAACCAAAACACAGCCATGCAAACACAACTGCTTTATGGTTGAAACACGAATGGGACACAGATACCCAAGCAAACGACTTTTGTACAAAATGTCCCTCTGGTCTTTTAATCTTTAAATTAACTTCTAAACTTGTCTCATTTCATACAATCTGTAGGTACCTGTTTGTTTTAGTTTACTCGCATAAATATTACATAGAAAAGACATTAAATTACAAGCAAATTTTACTAAAAATAGCTAGTAACTCCAATGTTTGTGTGTTTAAACTCTTCATATTGAATTAATTATACGCAGCAGTGTGTATGAGAACGTATTTATGTACTCATATGTACTCCATTATATAAATTAACTTACACAAAACAATGAGCGGCGGACAAGATGGATCTTTGGTTAAGGATGGTCCCGCCACACGCTTGGCTAAATATAACACCGTTCCATGAATATAGAAGGGAAGTTATTTCGGGGTACCGGGAGATATCAGTAACCGCGCCACCCACAATTCTTTGCGGGTTCCTTGGGACAGCTGAAAAAAGGCAAAATAAATTAGTTATTTATGTAACTGAAGATCGGGAACTTAATGGTTTTAGTGAGTTTTTAAAAAATATAGATTTATAAATGGATTATTGTATTAATGACTAGCGGCCCGGCCCGGCTTCGCACGGGTGGATATTTTTACAACATTTTAAAAAGTGGTTATTGTGACATAACAATAATAGTTGAGCATATAGTATCGCGAAGTTTTTTGTAGTTATTCATATTTTCTTCAATATTGCAGAACATACTTTTGTTCTATCACCAATAGTTTCCGCAGCGTACGCCACGAAAGATATTTTATAATATTTTTTCTACATCTTGAGTTACGTTACTAAAGTTTTAGTAAGGACCCCTAATCTTTTCTAGCAATAAATATAGCCTTTGTTACTCAAGGTGAATGTAGCTTTCTAATGGTGAAAGAATTTTTGAAATCGGCAAAGTAGTTATTGAGTTTATTCATTACAAACATACACACAAAAATACAAATCTTTGCTTTTTATAATATTAGTGTAGATGTATAATATTAGTGTGTTGTTAGTACTTGTACTATTGCGCAATTATATCGTCATCATCATAACAGCCGTTAACTGTCCATTACTGAACATAGGCCTCCAACTATAGTGTACTTTGGCAGTAGTTGCCACGCATGACAAGTGGGTTGGCAACCTCAGTTTGACTTGAGGGACCATCCCTTGAACATTTACTACAACTATATATTTTTATATAATTCCTTAACTTATCGGTTTTACAAAAACTGGTACGATCTATGACAGTGTTAACTGGAAATAGTTGGGCCATTTTTTTTTAATGAGTAATAATGGAATGGTAACCCCCCACCCACGCTATTGGTATACACCGGCGGGGCACCAGTGAGGGATGATAGATGAGGACGAAGCAGGTCAGTTAGTCCATCGTTACGAATTCAACAAGAATTGTTCACGATGGTTTCCAGGGGGAACCACGTAGAGGTCGACCTGATAGGGCATATTGCTAGCAATGTCGAACTCCATTGCTAACAATCCCTTTCCCCCCAATAGTTGGGCCTTACCCAGTAGTATAATATTACAGGTCATTAATAAAGTGATACGAAATGAAGAAGTTTTTAAAAAGGCAAATCTATAATATAAAAATAGATAAGAATGAAAAATTTAAAGTAAACAATCGTACCTATTACGATTTCTGAACTAACATAACAAATTCCAGACAATTTGTATGTGATATTTCTTGTTTGCTAACATTTAACTAGAACTATACACAGAGATATCATTTGTAAGTTCGTTTTGTAATGAAATTTAAGGATATGATAAAATCAAATGAAATTATGTTGTACATCTTCATTTAATATAGGCTTTAACTATGTAATTTTTGTGTACAATAAAGTATAAATGAATAAATTATATTTATTTTCTGTGAATTAATAAAAATAACTGACTTTCACATTTAACCAGTTTGGCATACCATTTTTGTATATAATTTGTTATTAATATGACTTTTTTTTCCATCATAGATTCCATCATTATTTATAATTAATATTCAAATTATTTCAAATATAATAATAATAATAATAATAAATAGTAATAAATAGAGATTCTGCCCGCATTGTACGCCGGTTTCTCTCCCTGGGGCCCTGAACCCCGGCCGACTGTGCTTCTGCCGGGGGTTAGTTGCCATCTCCTCTCCTTAAGAGGGGAGATGAGAATTTTAGTGAAATTTAAAAAATAATAATAATAAATAGATTTATTTTCTCTTCACAATTCATCATAGTGAAATACAATAAGACATGCTTATATTAAAGTAATCAAATTATAAATATAATTGTGAGAGACTGGTGCCTGAGATAGGTATAAGAAAAGAATAGAATAATTTAGTTGCCATTGTATTATATTTTATGCACAATAAAAATATTTTTTCGGAAATAAAAAATAATATTATAATTTATAGTACGTTTACACGTTGTGTATATGTTATATATATATTCCATATAATAAATAATATAATTAAAAAAATAAATATAAATTACCGACGACAGCAGCGACACCTATGAGATATAGTACTAATATTATACGCATTTTGAATACTACGTATCTTCACTTGAATTCACTTGGACACGTTAAAACTAACTGTAACGTGATATGCCGTTATTATACTAATTGATATCTACCGTAATCCAAGATATTATTATATACATTGATTCAGAAATAATATATTTATTTATCTAAGTAGGTAACCGTTTGATAAAATATATACCATTATGGAAAATATATTTTTATACCATTTTATTCAATTGTATAAAAATATATTTTCAGCCAATGAGAAACTTTATACAAAAGTGGTCCGCTGGGTACCTTTGTCCTACTTGTGTCCGCCATGAACCAACTGTGCTTTCTGTTAAGATATATATATATATATATATATATATATATATATATATACAGGGGTCAGTAAAATTACAGGATATAGAGACATAACACCATAGTTCATTGGATGGTCCAATAAGGGATGATAGGTGAAGGTGATGTAGCTAGTCAGCCGTAACTTATTTACCAGGAATTAACCAAGTTAATTTTTGGAAATTATCTTGGTTAATTCCTGGTAAATAAGTTAATATAAACATATGCTAACAATGAGCTAATCTTTCTTACCAGCAATCGTATCCCTCGAATGTATTGTACATAATATGATATTTGATTTCTTTATTAAACAATGTAAATATATAACTATATGTCAAATTTGACAATTATACTAATAATATTAATAAACAAAAAAAATTACAATTAATGCTATTTTTCCCGAAGTAGCAATATTATCAAATTGTCGGGGAATGCCTGATAATTCTAAGATGTATACATATTATCAGTTTTTGGACATGGCACGTAACAATAAACCATATTGATTAGTTAAACATACAATTATGATTAGATACCTGTACATTTACCAATAGTAAATTGATATAAAAATATTATCATCACGAATATATATGTATATTATATGTATATATATATATATATATATATATATATATATATATATATATATATATATATATATATATATATATATATATATATATATATATATGTGTGTGTGTTTATAACTTTGTCTTATTTTTATATAAATGATATTTAGAATAACATGCATTTTCATGGGTTACTTTTGTTTTTGTCTGACTTGCGCCATCTACCTTTCACTTTGTCCTTATTTACTATTTATGTCAAGTTGTCTATAAAAGATTGCTTTTAGCTATAAAGCCGCTTTTTGTACATACACGTTCTATATAAATACTCCTTGTATATATCTCTTTTATGCGCACTAAAGAGTTTATTATTATTATTATTACAAAAAGATTTGATTGTTTATTTGTAATATAGAAACTCAAAAACTAATGAACAGATTTTAAAAATAGTTTAACCTGTAGGAAGCTATGTATCCGCGATGAATATAGGCTTTAAAAAATAGAGATAACTTGATGGATACTGGATTATTACATGTCTAAAACGAGAATTTTACGAATATACTGTATTTTTTGGTCCCTACAATTGTTTCGACTTCGTAAAAATTCCTTTAAAAAAAATGAGAATATAAGTTTAAAAAAAAACAACACTTGTTACATATTAACTGCTTCAGGGAATTAGTGTGCATTGTAGAATAGAGAGTGTATCTAATTGCATCTCTCATATACTACCCCCCTGAGGATTATGGTGAGCCAGACATTGCTCTGGGCATTTTATATTCGTACTACTGGTTAATGGAGAAAGGGATAAGAGATTAATAGTATTTATTTATTTATTTATTTATATACCAGAGGGAGATTTTGTACAAAAGTCAATTGCTTGGGTACCTCTGTCCCATTCGTGTTTCAACCGTGAAGCAGTTGTGTTTGCATAGCTGTATTTCGGTTTGAAGGGTGGGATATGGCGTGAATTTACAGGGTACAGAGGAATAACACCTGAATCCTCAGGAATGGCAACACATGGGGGTATCATGGACGAAACAGTATACTCTGTTATGTCCATGGTACTGCTCATGTCTATAGGCGACGGTTACCACTTTCCATCAGGTGGGCCGTCAGCTTGTTTGCCATTCTAAGTTGTATAAAAAAAAACATATTATTCATTTTATACATGTGAAATCAAAAAGTATTTGATCAGTAAAACCGCCTAAATTTCTCAAAAGAACATGACAAGAGATAAACGACAACAGATGACATGACACATCCAGTGGATAAGTTATATATGTAACTAATTTTTTTTAGAAAATAGAAATTTTTAGCCTAATTTTTTTATACAGTCTTATTTTTACGTACCGCTAATGAATAAAGTTTCTTTCTATATATACAATACAGCACTCATTTATTACACAAAGAACTTAGTTAAATAATAAAATTAGTCAATTAAGCATTAGCTTGAATCCAGCGTGTGTAGCGAGAAACACGTGTATTTACACCAGGATAGCGGGCCAGAGCGCACTGATGGCCCAAGGAACAAATACCGACGACTACTCTATCGTGAAAGAGGGGACCACCAGAATCACCCTGGCATTGGTCGCGACCACCCACGTCCAGCCATCCAGAGCATAACATATTATCTGTTACAGTAAGACCAATCTCGGAGTAGATGTTTCTACATGTAGCTTGATTTATACTCCAGATTTGAACGTGACGTAGCTCCTCAGATAATGTTCCGCCAACCTTAAAATGTAGTAATATGTAAAGGTAAAAAAAATATATTTCAGTTATTTTAATTAATATAATATATAATTAAAAATATACAAATATATTATACAACAAAAATAGATAGGGGACAAAATAAAATACAACACAATATGGATGAAAGAAATTATAAAATCAGTTAAATATTTTTTGATTTTATCCATTACAAACAACAAACTAACACCAAACCTTTCCTTTTGAGGGGAAAGGGATTCTTAGTAATGGGGTCTAACTGACCCATTGCAAACAATACACCCTATTAGGTCGACCTCCACGCAATTCCCCCTGGAAACCATCGTGATTAATTCTAGTGGAATTCGTCATGATGGGCTAACTGTCCTGCTTTCATCATCATCTATCATCCGTCACTAGTGCCTCGCCAGTATATACCAATAGCGAAGGCGGGGTTATTCTATTATCACCCATTAAAAAAAAACATTTCCTCTTTATAATATTAACTTAAACACCTGTGTTTTCCCATTCAGGATGGAGTTATTTTTTATTATAAATATAAATCAAATAAATATTTGAGACGAACAGATTATTGTTAATAAGATAACTAACTACTTTTCAGGATACCGTCATTTCGACAGATATCTTTATCAATCTCAGTATCTTCTACAGACCGAACTAATTCACAACATTTTTGCCCGCCGGCTTAAAGTAAAGCTGTTGGTTTACGCTGGATCAGATGAAATATAAAGATATCAAATAAATCGGCCCATCGTGACAAATTCACTGGGAATGAACCACAATGGCTTCCACAATGACCACTTAGACGTCAATCTGGCAAAAGCGCGTTGCTAACAATAAGGTCTTTCCTCCAAGATAGCATGTATAAAGTACCTACTAGTTTGTACCCGCAACTTGTCCATATGACTGGGATAGAAAATATTAATGTATGTCCTTCTATACTATACCATACCAAATACTATGTGTATTTGCTAAAACGCCAAGACATAACTAACACCTTCATATTTATAATATTCATCATCATCATCATCATCATATCAGCCATTAACTGTCCACTACTAAAGATAAGCCTCCCCCATAAGGAGAGTTTGCTATTAGTTACCATACTTGGCATGGGTATTGGTAACCGAAGTTAGGCTTTGGCTTTGTTTTAAGAGAGACGCTGCTGCCCATCCCTCGGCCATTAGGTCCCCTTAGTCGCCTCTTACGACTACCACGGAAAAGGAAGAGGTGGCCTATTCTATACCGGGACCACAAGGTTACTTTAAAATATTGGTATGGTTTAAATACTCACTGATGTACTCCCCCATCCTACAGCCCATACAACTGAGTTATCATAAAGATTGTACGCTGTGCCAGCTATAACAGCGGGTCGAACGATGTTATTATAAACTATATATGTAGAAGTACGAAGTATGGCTATATCATTATCCAATGTGCTTGTAATATAGTTTTCGTGTAAGATTATGAGATTCAGTTCATGCACTACACCTCCGCTGTTTGCGTGGATAGATCCAACCCGAACACGCCATCTTGAAGCTACATCACCGCTGCAGTTTAAAAAATACATTATTTAGTTAAGTAATAAAATTTTTAACATCTAAGGTAACTAAGTATTTGTCATACTATTTATTTTTCATCAAACTTGAAAAGTCAAACAAACTAGTTTCAAGTTCAATAGGAGTTCTTATTGAACAATTATAAGTTACAGGTCCAAAAATCAAAACACAGTAGGGCCAAATATATCAGAGTTATCTCTTATTGATATGTGACTACAGAAACTTGATTTTTTAATACCATAAAATTTAGTTAGTAAACTTACAGCGTAGCGTTTGAATGCTTGCAAAACCCTTGTGGGTCATGTGCGCATGTCCAACCCTAAAGTAACCTTAATATATCTTTTCTGAAGAACCCCAGTCTCTAAAAAAACTACAGTAAGTAGCGCATTCCAACTGAACATTCGCAATAGATATTCCTTCTAAAATTTTTATTCAAGAGTAAGGGAATGAATCCCCAAAAAAGTTGGTCCTGAACATTATGTACCTATCTGACGATTCCTCGGAATACAATTCATTATATTACAAGAAAATCTTCAAAGCCTCGACAAAAAAAAATAAACATACAAGAAACAATGAGCAGCGGATAAAATAGATCTAGCATTTATGATAGATCCTCCACAAGCTTGACTAAAAATAGATCCACTCCAGTTAATCAACATAGAAGCCATCTCAGGATATTGGCCGATGGTTGTAACCGAGCCGCCTACAATTCTCTGTGGATTTTTAGGTGCAGCTGTAAATAAAATAAAACCGACATTAATTCGCTGTAGTCTTAATAAAAAGAAAACTTAAGTCAAAATAAGCAAAATTAGATCTAGTAATACCTGCCTAAAAATGGGCAAAGTTCACAAATTGATTATGAAAAGAAACATTCCTTTACCATAAGATATTATATTACCTAAGGAAAAGGAACATGTTTTCGTAACTAGAAATCTACTTTTATTATTGGTAAGTATTTCATTGAGTCTCATGAGTATTGGGGTAGATTATTATTTTTTTAGTAACATTGTTTCTACCATGAAATACTAGGATCGTTTCGTGCAGTGAAGTCGCGGATAATTCTAATTATTTGATGTTCTGTTCGTATTTTTTTAATATTACTCGCAAATAGTGTACACTGTGAAAACAGGTTACCCTCTTCATATAAACAAACAAATGTTACCTCTTAAGTCTAGACAAAATAAACTTGCATTCATTTGTTTGATTAAGCCACTGTGCCATTTGCATGTTTTATGTTTATTTAAATATAAACATTAAACATGCAAATAATAGCCGTGTGGTCCCGGCATAGAATGGGTCTCCAATTCTTTTCCCGCAGGTATCGTAAAAGTCGACTAAGGGATGACGAGGAATGAGTAACAGCGACCAGAGGGTCGCTAAAACTCTCTAAAGCCTGACTACGGTTGCCAATCCGCCTGCAAGCACGGCAACTACTGGCAAACCCCCCCAAGGAGAAGGAGAGAGCTTATGACGATGATGAAACATTAAATATATTTTGAAGTAAAGTCTATACATAAACATTATTTATAACTTTTATAAGCTTATTTATAATATTTTTTATCACAACTGTACTATAGTTTTGAAGGGTTAAGATGTGCTGGAATTAAACTACAAGAAACTTGATAATGATTCTTTCATATCTGTTAAATATATCGCTAATACATTAAATATAATATTCTCCTCGAATAATATATCAGAAATATAAAAAAATTTATGTATGACCGACTAAGGAAAAACACCTTTGTCTTCTGAGTTATCATTTTATTGACTTTACTCGATGAAATGTTGGACTTAGGTTTGTAACTTATTACAAAAGGTCAAGAGCATAATTACCTCCAACGGAGACTGCAAGAGTTAAAATAAAAGCCGCCAAATGCATTTTGTGGGAGCACATGTCACTTACTGTTTACTAATTACACTTCAATCTATTTTCTATTTATATAATTAATAATCTATTTAATAACAAAAGATGTCTAAAGATAAAGGAGTAGTGTGTTATCAGATATAGTTATCTAACTTAACTACTTAATATTACTCATTTCTTAGTTTTTGTTACAAATATAAGTTACATTTGTAACAAAATGTTATAAATACAAGCATTATAATGTGAATGTTTATTTATTACCTTAAAACGCCTTAACTTTTCACTATGAAATTTGGTATCACTACATGAAATGAAGAAGGACATAGGCTAATTTTTATTCCGGTCAGTAAAATACCTGTCACTCCGGTCACGCTGTCAATTATTTATTACAATATTTGTACAATTGTTTTTATTGTCGTTACTATCATTACCAATCCCCTCTGTTGGAACTACAGGCATCCACCATCTTATTCAACTAACTTAAAATCTTCGGTAAATAATTTTTTTTCCACAATCACATTTTATTATCTTTACCAGAGGAGACTTTGTACAAAAGTTGATTGCTTTGATACCTCTATCCCATTCGTGTTTCTACCGTGAAGCAGTTGTATTTGCATGCCTGTGTTTCGGTTTGTAAGGTGGGATATGGCGTAAATTTACAGAGTATAGAGGAATAACACCTGAGTTCTTAGGAATGGCAACACATGGAGGTATGATGGGCAAAACAGTATACTCTGTTATGTCCATGGTACCACTCATATCTATAGGCGACGGTTACTACTTTCCATTAGGTGGACCATCAGCTTGTTTGCCATTCTAAGTCATATAAATAACATACATACATACATACATATCTGTCACGCCTGTTTCCCATTAGGGTAGGCAGAAACAATGGAACGCCAAATGCTTCGATTCAAACAAACCATATAAATAAAACATCTTAAAATTTTGGAAAACCCGACAATGAATTTTAAATTCAATTCACTGTTTGTTATTTCTATATTTTCTAAATGTATAATAAATTTAATGCATATTCCTATATTGGTTATATATTTTTATTGTCTACTAGAGAGAGACTTTGTACATAAGTTGTCTGCTTGGGTACCTCTGTCCTATTCCTGTTTCTGTTATGAGACAACTGTGCTTACATGGCTGTTTTCGAATTGAATAGTAGGATATATCCCTAGTCCTTAATGAAGTCAAGATATGAGGGCATCACCATATGTAGTTTTGTTCTGCCTATAAGTAAAGATTTTCCCTTAGAAGAATATAGGCATCACAGTATATTCTATCATATCCTTGGATGCCATAGATATAGTTGCACGTACCACTTTTAATCAGGTGAGTCGTGAGCCTGTTATTAGATTTCCATTTTTAGTCAATTTAAAAGAAATAATAATAATAAATGTCCCTGAACATTTATTATTCTTATCATTTCTTAAATGATCTGTATGCATGTATTTATGCATGTACATGAAAAATTAGAATAACAAATATTAGACGCTTTATAAGCTGTTTTTTTTTGATGGGTGAAAATGGTATGGTAACCCTGCCTGCGCTAACGGGATACGCTAGCGGAGCACCAGTGAAAGGTGATAGATGAGAATGAAAACAGGCCAGTTAGTCCATTATGATGAATTCATCAGGAATTAACCATGAACAGGGAGAACCGCGAGGAGGTCGACCTGGTTGTATATTTAGCAATGGGGTCTCCATTACTAACAATCTCTTTCCCCTCTTACAAGCTGGTTTGAAAACAGATATTATTTAGTAACGGATGTATTCCGAAACTGTGGAGCTACAATAAATGAGACTTTTTTAGCGGTAAACGGGCATAGATGGGTTAAATTGACCATAAATAATTAGTTTTGAAATCAACAACGAAAACAAAATTCATTTACATATTTTATATATACTTCAATTATTTAAAAAAATCTTTATAGAATCCACTCTATTTGTTCATTCAAACATTCCCTTTGTTATTTTTTTCATTTACTACTAAAAATTAAGTTATAATATGTACCATTACATATTAAATAATAAAATAAATATGCTCATGACTATAAGCCTAGTAGAGGCACTTATCGACTGTTGTTGTTGTAATGATAAAACTTTATCTATCATTTAATAATAAGTGTTAAATATTATTTTACCTCACAAATATGACATGAACAATCAATCATATAATAAATATAAAATCATTGGACTATGCCACAAAAACATAATATATGATATGGCATAGTAAGATACCAGAGGGCAACTTTGTATAAAAGTCGTTTGCTTGGGCACCTCTGTCTCATTCGTGTTTCTACCGTGAAGCAGTTGTGTTTGCATGTCTATATTTCGATTTGAAGAATGGGATATGGCAGTGAATTTACAGGGTACAGAGAAATAAAACCTAAGTCCTAAGGAATAGCAACGTTTGAGGGTTATCGAGGGCGAAACAGTATAATCTGTTCTGTCCATGGTACTGCTCATGTCTATAAGCGACGGTTACCACTTTCCATCAGGTGAGCCATCAGCTTGTTTGCCATTCTAAGTTGTATAAAAAAAGATAACCCCTATTTTCATTGTATGAAAAATATCATAGGTCAATAAACGATGTAATTTTATTTGCACTTTATCACTTTACGTATTATAATTATGAGCGTTAGAAAATGCATATCCGGTGAGATGTCGTCTTAATTTTATTCAAATAAATAATACGTATTTAAATATAAATTAAATAAAACACAATTTAAAAAACTGAAAATTTATAATTTAATATCATATATAAAATATTTAAGCGTTGGCTTGAATCCAAGTCGTGTAACGAGACACACGAGTGTTAACACCAGGGTAGCGAGCAGTAGCGCATGAGTATCCCCAGGAGCAAATACCGACGACGACACCGTTGTGGAAGAGGGGACCGCCAGAGTCACCCTGGCACTGGTCGCGACCGCCGACATCCAACCAACCGGAGCACAACATGTTATCGGTCACAGTAAGTCCGAGCTCAGCGTAACGGCTTCTGCAGGTAGCCTGGTTGATGCTCCAAATCTGAACTTCACGCAGTTGCTCAGATGCGGCACCACCGGGCTGGAATATGTCATAATGTTATACAAATGGTACTAGCAGTTAAATCTTATATATATGTACATTGGTTATTTCTGTTACGAAATAATAATCATACATTCTTATATTTCGATCAAGGATAAGAATAATTAATACAGTCTCTGATAAAAGAATTACAGACTACAGATATGAATTTACATTGATACAGCAACTATATTTAATTCACGTATATTTTTTAATTTAAATTCTAAATAGATACAAAATTGGGGGGAAAGGGATTGTTAGTAATAATACTGAAAATCCCATTGCTAGCAATACACCCAACCAGGTCGACCTCCTCGCGGTTCTCCCTGGAAACTATCATGGTTAATTCCTGATGAATTCATCATGATGGGCTAACTGGCCTATTTTCATTCTCATCTATCACCCTTTACTGGTGCTCCGCCAGCGTATCCCGTTAGCGCAAGCGGGGTTACCATACCATTTTCACCCATCAAAAAAAAAATATAGAGACAAAAGAGCCTACTTATACATCAGCTAAATTTAATCCATTCTTATATGAAAATGAATGTCAAAAACAGTTTATAAAATTGTCAAAAATAACATCGCGACAAGCAAACCGTAACATGCAAAAACGCAGTCCTAAATTTGTAAATTACAGTTTTTTTATGATCGAAGCAGTTCATATATATTGAAGAAATTATAGTGCAGATATCCGTCTATGTATATAGATAGAACACCCTTTAATCAACAATACTGTATTAATCTAGAATAACTCTTTAGTTCCTGTTCATATTTATGGTTTTAGACCCCATCAGATGAATTATCAACTTCTTTTACAGGAATAACAAGTTTATATATAGTCCGCCTAATGAAATATGGTAACAATAAATATTAACAAATTTAAATTATTAGATAAAAAATAATACTTACAGATACTCTGCCCCATCCAGTGGCGTAGACCACTTGATTGTCAGCGAGATTGTAGTTAGTGCCGGCGATGCTGGCAGCACGGATCACATTGCTGTAAATGAAGTTGGTTGTAACACGCAGGATAGCGACATCATTGTCCAATGTCGACGAGCTGTAGGTGGGGTTGATGAAGATTTGACCAACGTTGATAACGGTACCACCGCTGTTAGCGTTGGTGGATCCGACGCGCACACGCCACCTGGTGGGTGGGTCGCCACTGAAAGTAATGAATAATAAAAATTAATCAATGCTTAATTTTTCCAATCCATACAGATCGTTATATATGACTGTAGATGATAAACAAACTGAAGAACTGACGAAAACGAATAATCGCGTACATACATAAATAGTAGCATGGACATAATACAATACTCCGTAATGCACATAATATCTTTTATCCGTTATCATTCCTGAAGATTAAAATGTTATACCCGTTGTGTCGAAATTTGGCAACTAATACTTTTGAACAAAAATTGAAAATTAATAACAGTAGAATTGAGATACTGGTTCCTACGCAAGCAAATGACAGTCGGAGATTGATAGCTAACATAGAAGGTTATAAAACTTCTGTTAGTAATAGTAGTGATCAATGTTCGAGTGTTGGTAGTCACACACATACTAATGATAGCAGAATTAAACAAAATAATTCTAATCAAATGCCCAATAACATTGTCTCTAAAAAGAAATATCTTCCATCATAGACACATAGATACTCTTTATTGTTTACTCCAAAAGATTACTGTAGTAAACTTATTATAAATACAAATAATTACAAGAAAAAATTACACTGACAAAACAATGAGTGGTCTTATCACTAAAAGTGATCCCTTCCAAGCAACCTTTGGATGGAAACGAGTAATTATAAACAGTTTGGCTGAAGGCATGAAACTGTGTTCATTTCAAACACATATAGAGATGTAATACGTACAATAATGTGAATATATCAATGTATATTTTAATATCATACATCAATCATAACATAAGAGAGAATTGTTTTATTGTTAGGAAGGCAAACATGAAGACGATAAACCTGATAGGAAGGGACTACCATCGCTCATAAACATATGCAACACGATAGAAATCAATTCATATTCAGTGAAGGAAACATGCTTATAAATGTACCAAATATTGGGATAATGTGATTGAAATAATAATATTTAATTTAATTAATTTACTTACACAAAGCAGTGAGCAGCAGATAAGACAGATCTGTTGTTAAGGATAGATCCACCACAAGACTGTGAGAATGTAGATCCGGTCCATGAGAAGAGCAATGAGGTCATCTCAGGCCATTGTTCAATGCTGGTTACAGACCCACCCACGATCCTCTGTGGGTTTTTGGGTGCAGCTAAAAATAACAATTGCATTTATTATTTAAGTCTTACCTATTACAACTTCTAAGTTAGTTCCCTTTAGTGTAAATGTTATAATAATGCTAAGTAAAACAATTTCCTTAAGCTTAGGATCCTATTAGGTTCACCCTGTATCTCGCGGTATTTTTCATGTCGTTTTGCATATAAAATAGCTAATACATTATATTAATTCAGAATATAATTTATCTTTAAATCAATTTACTTGTAAATCTGTTCAACCATTTACACCAACTTGAATAAGGACAAACATCTAAAATTTCTCATTATATATTAGTAGAACTACATTTAGTAAAAAAATGTTTACTTTCTTTCGCAAAATGAGAAAGGAAATCCGATTTTGGTACAATATATCTATATAAATAGCTGAAAATAAGTACGAAAATCCTAATTTAAAACTACTAAAACAGACGGTAACATTGTATAGAAATACCTGTAAAAAAATAGTCCATTCAGTCTAATCTTATCAGGTCAGTAATACACATAATTGCGACAAACTCATTGATAATAATTAGTCACTAACTATAAATGGTGTACTTACGAATAAGTAGATCAAATCTTTACTCAATATATCTAAATACGCTTTCCCATTCATTAACTTTATATTATTATTTTATTTCTTCATTTTCACTATTACATTTCCAGATATTTTATATATACATAAGCTATTTCATTACGATAGTAAAATGTTTCGTTAGTTTAAACGTACCTACATTTATTAAGTTACAATCTTTTACCCATGACTTCGTGAGTGTAACCGAGATAAATAGTAACCTATCTCTTTCTTCATTCTAAATTTTATGTGTACACCAAATTTCATGAAGATTAATTAAACCATTAAAACGCATTACTAAAGAAACAAAACAAACAAATTTTTACATTTATAATATTAGTAAAGATTAATTAATTAACCAGAAGGAAATTTTGAACCTTGCGCACCTCTGTCCCATTCGTGTTTCCACCGTGATGCAGTTGTGTTTGCATGGCTGTGTTTCGGGTTGAAGGGTGAAATATGGCAATGAATTTACAGAATATAAAGAAATAACACCTGAGTCCTCAGGAATGGCAATGTATGGGAGTTATCATGGGCATATCATGAAACTCTGTTATGTTCATGCTCATATCTACTGCTCATATCTATAGGCGACGATTACCACATTCCATCAAGTGGACCGGCAACATGTTTGCCATTCTAAGTCGCATAAAAGAATTAATTAATTGAAGATTCTCTTTTCTAGAAGAATACAATCAATTAAAAATCAATACTATTTAGAAAGAAGAAGAAAGATAGAAAACGTTTATTCCCAACAACAAAAAAGAGTTGCAAATATAAATATTCGTAATTCACTATATGCTAAAATATTGTATTAGGTACAGTATGTCTGAATAAATGCCAATGCAAAGAAGCAGTAATATATTATTTTTTTTCTTAGTTTATATTAACGGCATCATATTAGGGAATACCATATACGTCGCATTCTATTCCAAAGATTATCGAATAACACAATATCCGATTTTGTTTTACTTACATTCTCTTTCAAGAGAATGTGCATGTTGTGTGAATATTAAAATAATATTATATATTAGCATAGGAATAAATGAGATATAAGTGACGCTCATATTATCCGTTTTGAATGCGATAGTACCGCCTATAAATATACTCCTCGTCCCTTCAGACTCGACACAGTTTATTTCAAATTTATTTACAATTAAGAAATAAGTCAGGTCATATGACATACGCATGGAAAAATTTTTAGCTTGCAAAGCTTGATTTAAAAAAGAAACACTATTCTTAAGCTAAAAAAAACTGACTAACAGTGTGCCAGCAATCTATTATTACTAAATTCACAGACGTCTCAGTTCTATCTGGACATTTCTTCATATCAGCCGTAAACTGTCCACTGCTGAACATCATTATGATAGTTACAATATTTTACCCAGATGTTTCGTTTCTTCATTCTACAAATTTTTGTGTACACTAAAGCATTCCCCATAAGGAATTTGCCAATGGTTACCACGCCTAGCAGACGGATTAGCAACCGCAGATAGGCTTTGGTGACGTTTTAAGAGGGACGTTTTACTGACCATTCCTCGCCCATTAAGTTTCCTTAGTCCCCTCTTACTACACTCGCGGGAACGAAAGGGATGGTACATTCATGCCAGGACCACACGGCATCTAAACATTTACTATTATGGTATTAGTACAAAATACACTACATACCTGACACAGCAGCAACGGTAAGAGCAATGAGAAATAGCACACGCATTTTGTTTCACTACCCTTCTACCAACACAAGTAAAAGGGTCTCAACACCATATAACCAATGTATAATTATTTGATCATATTTATAGTAGATCGAATGAGACATGGATTTTACGAAAGAGATTAAATAGATAACACCTATCAACTATACTTTTTTTGTAATAACGTATTTGTACTCCCGGCTATGCACACTTTAATTTTAATAAACAATGCGCATACTGGAATAAATCTTTATTAAATTACATTTATTAAAAAGTTGTTTATTTATTCTTTATTGCACAATAAAACTTTATACAAATGGCGAGCTTAATAATAACAATTAACAATGCCATATAGCATATACATTGAAAAAATAATACATAATACATAGGAAATGCACATATAATACACAAACATTTTAATATGTATGGATATACTTGTTTGTTTCGATTGCTTGGGTACCTCTGTCCTATTCGTATTTCAACCGCGAAGCAGTTGTGTTTGCATGGCTGTGCTTCGGTTTTAAGGGTGGGATGTGGCGTGAATTTACTGGGTACAGAGGAATAACACCTCCTCAGGAATGGCAACGTATGGGGAGTATCATGGGCGAAACAGTATACTCTGTTATGTCCATGGTACTGCTCATGTCTATAGGCGACGGTTACCACTTTCCATCAGGTGAGCCGCCAGCTTATTTGCCATTCTAAGTTGTATAAAAAGAAATACTAGCGAACTACCCCAACTCCGTACGGATAGAGAAAATAAAATTCAGCACCAGTTACTTATTGAAAATGTATATTTATTTGTATTCATTACAAGCAAAAAATCAAATCTCCTCTTTATAATGCTGTTTTTGAAAATACACCTACTTGGTGATTGCTCTATTATTCCCTTTTTTAAGATAATACTATTACTTATCCTTATTTATTATTAAAAAAAAAAAACACTATATCCTATTAAAAAAAATCTATTCTGAAAAATATGGAAACAAAGCTCATGGATTTCAAACAATCACTTCAACAATAAATCTGTTATTTGCCATTCTTGTATAGGCATTTTCATAGAAAATAGAAATAGTGTTACTTCAAATTAGAGAAAGCTTTTCTAGAAAGGTTTCTTCAAAGGGTCGACAACGCACGCGTAATACCTCTGGTATTGCAGGTGTTCTTAGGCTACGGTAACCACTTACCATCAGGTGGGCCGTATGCTTGTTTGCCACCTCAGTGGTATAAAAAAAATACACAAATTAACAAACGAACAAACAAATTTTATCCATTTATAATATTGGTAGATAGAAGCCGAGACGATTTGTTATCTACGTTAATTTATGACATCAATCCGTGACTACTTAATCTATTTCTTTCTTTATTAGTCTTGAAAATGTCTAATGAATAATCGATCATTGCATTATCTAAGTAGATTAATGTAATATACCTAGATATGCAAAGAACTAGATGGATGGACTACAAAAATGGACAAATACCAGTTACAATAATAGTCGACTAATGTATTCTGTTCAATCGAATCAAAGTTTTTGTTCTACTAAACAAGTTATTTTTACGACTCATAATCTAACTAAACATATGCATATAAAGCAGGTACATGTATAGGTACTATTTACCTGCAAAGGTTTTATCGTCGCATCAAGTCTCGATTGTGTATTTAAAATATATGTAAACAACGCGAAAGTTTAAAATTAACCAAGGTCCAACTATTCATAGATATTATTGGAAGATGTAAGTGCATTGACGTAAGAGCTCTGCAAAAACATGTATAGGAAATTGTCCTCATGAACGTTTTTGTATGGCTCATCATATAATCATATCATATCAACACATCATCATCATCACTACATAGTATAAAACAAAGTCGCTGTCGCTGTCTGTCCGTCCCTATGTATGCTTAAATCTTTAAAACTACGCAACGGATTTTGACGCGATTATTTTTAATAGATAGAGTGATTCAAGAGAAAGGTTTATGTGTATAATACATGCATAATATAGTAGAGAAACACTGGTAATTTTAGAGGTTTCTAATGTGATGTGATGTAATGTGCACCCGTGCGAAGCCGGGGCGGGTCGCTAGTATAACAAAAAATACTAAATTAATATAATTAATAATTTAATTAGTAATATTTGTTTTTTCTTACGCCCATCTTTTAATTCATGTAATATGAGTCAATAAATATATTATAAATACATAAGTAAATACATATATGTATGTATATATATATACTTGGATTTTTGTAGTCCTTTTCATTCACGATATCCATTTTTTTGTACTAGCTATTAACCCAACTCACGCAAGGATTTTTACTATCAGTATTCTACGACTTTACCCACCTAAATTACGATAAAGATATTCTATTTATTTGTGTAGGACATGACCTGTCTGTATACCATTCTATCGCTCCAGCTGTGACTAAATAACAAGCGTCCAAACATTTCACAAACTTTATCATCTCTAATATTAATCATCAATCATCATCACCATCATCTAATGTTATAAATGTGAAAGTTTGTAAAGATACAAATATAATATAATTATATATTATGTATATATTACGTACGGAACACTCTATAAGCGAATTTATTTGTGTTGACAACACTGTTGAATGATTCTAATGAATTTCGTCTAATCAGTCACTCATTATCCATAATCCGTGATTTTTTCAATCCATGTTGTACGAAATCCGATACGAAGCGCTTATCAGCTTTTTTATTGGAAATGACGTCATAATGTCTCCTTTCCAAAGGGTTTTAATCCGAAAAAGTATTTGAAAAATTTTCTTGACTAACCTATAATCAGAGATTCACAATTGGAGACTATCTGAAATCGACGTACAAGTTTGAAACACATTTTGAAAGCGAATAACGCAAGAGATGTATATATGTAATAATAAAATGAGAAAGAAAAAATATTATTACATAGCACTCAGATCTCTCTGCCTACTCTACAATAGGCTTGGCGTGAAAGTAAATAAATATATAGTACCTTTAAGATTTAATGATGGATCCTTCATCGTCATAAATTTTATAAATATACAACGCAAAATATCTAGCAATTCTTGATAAAATATGTACCACTGGTCTCATGTTTAAACCTCACGCAACACCAAACATTTACATACATAACTTAGTATCAGCTTAGAATATATAGATAGAGTGTCTCCCATACAAATGCTTCGCCAAAAACAGGTCAACTTTTTTCATTCATGTGGGAAAGAAAAGGGTTACATAATATATATTTATTGTTCAGAACATGGAAATAATTATATTAGAACGTTAAATTAACAAATAAAATTGATACAAAATTCTTACGAATATATTTGAAAGAATAATATAAATAGTGCGTAATGAATTGTAATGATGCTAATTTTTTCTGATTATTTTGATAAACTCAAATAAGTTTAGACAAAATATATTTTTGTTTTCAAGTCATTGAAAATGGGCCACCATTTTACTAAATATATGTATATTAATTTGTGAACAATACATAGGTGCACATGTATATTTATATTAAATAAGAAAAAATAATTCCTAATTCAAATTTTAAATATTAACCTTATCTAAAAATATTAGATGTAAAACTGAAAACGGCGCGTTTTTGTTTCATTTCTTAAAAATATGTGTCAGAATTTAGTCAGCCAAACGTCAAAATAACTGACTCATTTTGGCTCGTGTTTGACACTTGATAATCTATCTATATAAACTATCTAATAGTATCACTTATCTAGTACCCATTTAGTTTATGATCAGACGATACTGTGCATTGTTATGGTCAATTTGTTATGTTGTAAATGCAAAAATTTTGCTCGGTAATATATCACCGAGCATATTATCGCTACGAGTACAGTCATATAAATACTGATTCTAAATTCAAATATTTTAAATTTTATTGGTTTAAAATAGGTATAATGAAATTGCTAATCATTGTTAATTTTGTCAGAATTAAAAACGCTGCATTTTTGGAGAGCAAAGTTTACTTGTGTAAGTATATCTGTTAATTTATTTCTTCGTACTTCAATATAGAAATCTTGTAATCGTTATTGTGTATGTTAGTAACGTAATACAAAAGAATATTACATCATAGTTCTTAAGAATGGCTACTAGGGATAGATAATACCGATACCACTCCAAAATATATATATTAGATTCGTATGGATATTGATGATATTTGTATTTACTTCGTTTGAGTTCTCTATTTCGGTATTATACATATTAGATGACCGACATTTCATAAATCCGTTTTTGTGGCCAAATATATAGTATATTCTACCTAAAATATATAGATATCGATATTAATTACCTAATAGCAACACATGCGAAATACCATAGGCATCACAGTATGATGCCGACGGCCACTTTCGATATTATATTACAGCCTAAATGGTCGCGTACAACGCGGTTTCAGATATGCTTTCTCCCACGAACACTAAGGTTATGGAATGAGCTTCCTGCCGAGGTTTTCCCGAGAGACTACAGCATGGGGTTCTTCAAAAGGGGGTAAAGAGGTTTCTTCAGGGTCGGCAACGCGCGCGTAATACCTCTGGTATTGCAGGCGTTCATCACGGTAACCGCTTACCATCATATTGGTATAAAAAAAAAAAATTCTGTTATTATATTTCCATAGTGCTGTTCCTGTCTATAGGCAACGATTACCCCTTTCCATCAGGTGAACCATCAGCTTGTTTGTTATTCATAAAAAAATATGACACATAATATAAATAACAATATTATTCGCTTTCAATTCTAGGAAACTCTAATAATTTATTCTTTATTTATATTGAGCCTTTGATTTGTATCCTAATTTGATGTATATAGACTTATATATTATACGTAGCAAAGAAATAGCAGTGGGAAGAAATATAAATCAATTTGCTGGAGATTCATTTGTATTCCAAGTATGTTGCGCTGCTGTTAACAGGAATTTCTTCTGACAATGGGCTCGATTCTGAAACGTCACTAACTAAACCTATATATTTCTGATATCTCTGAACTTATAAACTAACTGTATTCCACGGATTTGCCTTGAGAATTAATATAAAAATTTATCACTTATTAAATAATCAAATGTACCATATAACTGACTAAATATGTACCAATAGCGCAGGCGGGGTTATCATTCCATTATCATCC